CTTCAGGTGGTCTCCGATGCCCGGCGCCGCGGAACCCCGCGTCCCCGAGTCCGCGTCCTCCACGGGGGTCGTGTGGAGTGCCCCCGTCTGCGATCGTTCGGCGACTCTGCCTTTCGCCATAGCTGCTGTCGGGAAGGCGGAGCGGCCGGCACAGTGCCACGGCCCCTCAACAACAAACACCGAAGCGCCACGGCCACAGTCACTTCCGGCGGCGCGACCTCCTCACCTGAGACGACCTCAGCCCCGCGAGCACAGGGACGCCGGGCAGAGACCCGCAGCGCCCACTCCAGGCTAGGCTCCGCCCCGCGCCGCCCCCGAGCCTCGCGCGCTCGCGCTGGCCCAGTAACCGCGAGACAAGTCAGGGTCCCGCCCCGCCCCGCGCCGGCGAGGAGCATGCGCAGTCGCGGCGCCAGAGTTACTGCGGCTTGCAGACACGGACGTCTACAGCGCAGCCTTAGTTATGCGGAAGTGCGGTCCCAGGGACTTCAAAGCCTTTGTCCCAGCCACCGGAAGTGCCTGCGAGTGATTACTTGGCGTTTCGCGGCTGACGCTGATTCAGCCCCTTCCCCGCTACAATTCCCCAACTGCTATCTTGGATCTGGAGCGGCCAGAGAGTGCTCGGTCCGAAGACATAAAGTGTGAGCCATAAAGTGTGAGCCAAACCTACCTGAATTTCGGGAAGGTCACAGAGTGGCAAAAAATGAGCTGGTTTTCTTGTCCCCAAGCTAATGCTTTCGCTTGTCATCTCCATACTGCCCCTCACTAGTAAACCCAGGTCAACTCTTGTTTTGTTTGTTTGTTTTTTGTTTTTGAGTTGGAGTCTCACTCTGTCGCCCAGGATGGAGTGCAGTGGCACGCTCCCAGCCATCGCAGCCGGAGCCTCGACCTGCTGGGCTCCGGCGATCCTTCCGCCTCGGCCTTCCAAGTAGCTGGAACTATAGGCGAACGCCTCCACGCCCGGCTAATGTTTAAATTTATTGTAGAGCCGAGGGTTCACCAAGTTGCCCAGGCTGGTCTTGAACCCCTGAGCTCAGGCAATCCTCTCGCTTCGGCCTTCCAAAGTGCTGGGATTACAGCCTTGAGCCACCACGCCTGGCCTAGGTCAACTCTTTACTTAGCTGAGCCCAAACATGCCTTTTTGACAATTACTTTTTCTACTGCTACCCCTCAGCAATATTCAGCTTACTCTCCTTGTGATTGTATTGGAATTCCCTTTGAAAGCAACTTGGCAGTGTATATAAAAAATATTGATTGTTCCTATTACATTTCTAGGAAATGATTCCATGAAAAACATAGAAGGAGTTGTTCCTAACATTATTTATTAGTATATGGTGAACACGTGGATGCAATATGAGAACCCAATATTAAAGAAAAATGGTTAAGTAAACTGTGGGAGACCTATTCAGTGGAAACATTTTGTGTACACATCCTTTACCTACTTCTATTATATCCTTCATGACCACTCTTAAGTGTAACCGAGAATTTCCATTTCATCTTCTGAGAAATTGTTTTAAGCCTTTTTTTTCTCTTAGCCAACACCTTTAGGGTTTTTTTCCTTTCTAATCTAATTGCGTACTGACTTGAGAAATTCCAGAGGCCATTCCAGAGGTTGAATTTGGAATAACAGTATGAAGACCCCATGGCAGAATTCTCCATTGTTTAGAGGACATGAGAAGACAATTTAATCCACAACCTGGCCACAGTTGGGAAGGCATCAGCTAGTTCCCCAGGTGGACAACAATTCAAAATATCCATCCAAGCCTGTGCCGCTCCCAGATACTCCTCATTCCATTCTTTCCCTTTAAAATCCTGTATCCTCAGCCCAAAAGTTTAAAATGCTTTCCTTGAAAGATGAGCCTGGCTATTTCCCCATCTGCCAGCTTTTGGAATAAAATCATCTTCCTTCCACTACATCTTGTGCTTGTTCATTTTAGGCTGCAAGCAATGAGTAACAGAACCTATCGGAAGCATGAGAGATGGCTCTTCATTTTGTTTCCTTCACAGTTGTTAAAAGCAATAATTATGTGGCTTGTTTACTTGTTTATTGTCTGCTTTCACCTATAGAATGTAAACTTTAAAACAGGAGCCTTGTCTTTTTTTTTTTTTTTAAGAGATGGGATGATCGTGCCTTACTGCCCAGGCTGGACTCGAACTTCCTCTGGGATCCTGTGGCCTTCACCTCTTGAGAAGCTGGAACTACAGGCTCATGCCACTGCACCTAACTGGGCTTTGTCTTTTTGATCACCATTATATTCCCAGCAGTTGATTGTGTCACCCCCTAAGTACATGTTCAATAAACTTGTTGAATAAATTTTCAATCATAGAAAACTTTATGGGTGGGGTTCAGTGGCTCAGTCTATAACCCCGGCACTTTGAGAGGCCGAGGCAAGTGGATTGCCTGAGCCCTCGGGTTCAAGATCAGCCTGGGCAACTGGGCAAGACCTCATCTCTACAATAAATCAAAAAGTTAGCGTGGTAGCGCATGCCTGTAGTTCCAGCTACCTGGAAGGCTGAGGTGGAAGGATCACCTGAGCCCAACAGGTCAATGCTGGGGTGGGCGTGAGCATGCGTGCCACTGCACTCCAGCCTAGGCAATGGAGTGAGACTCCAACTCAAAAGAAAAGAAAAGAAAATTATACTTATGGCCAAGTGCAGGGGCTCACACCTGTAATCCCAGCATTGTGGGAAGCTGAGGTGGGATGATTGCTTGAGCCTCAGGTGTTAGGGACCAGAGCAGGCAGCATAGCGAGACCCTATCTCTACAATGAAATAAAACAATTAGTTGGGTGTAGTGGCATGCACCTGTAGTCCCAGCTGCTCAGGAGGCTGAGGCAGAAGGATCACCTGACACTCGAAGGTCGAGGCTACAGTAAGCCATGACCATCCTTCTGCACTCCAGGCCGGACAACAGAGTGAGACCCACTTCAGGAAAAAAAAAAATGTTACTTATGACAAAACTAATAATGTGGGCAACACTTATGCAAAAACATGACAAGAGATGGCTACAAAAATATTAGAAAAAATACATAAGAAAATAAATGTGTATTTTTAGTGTAGGTAAGATCTTGAGCAAGACCCAAAGTATTTAGAAAACAATATATTTTGCTACTATAAAAATTAAAAATTTGAGTACAACAAAAACATCAAAATCAATCCTACAAACAAAAACAGACTGAAAAAAATTTACCACATAAATAAGAATTAATACAAATCAGTAAGAAAAGTACAACTCAGCCGGGCTCGGTGGCTCAGCCTGTAATCCCAGCACTTTGGGAGGCCGAGGTGAGAGGATTGCCTGAGCCTGTTGGTTCCAGACCCACCCGGGCAACTTGGCGAGATCTAGTCTGTACAATAAATAAAAAACCAGCCGGGCGTGGTAGCGCGTGCCTGTATTTCCAGCTACTTGGAAGGCTGAGGCGGAAGGATCGTCGGAGCCCAGCAGGTCCAGGCTGCGGTGGCCGGGAGCGGCCACTGCACTCCAGTCTGGGCGACAGAGTGAGACTCCAACTCAAAAAAAAAAAAAGAAAAGAAAAGTACAACTCAGCCTGGCTCAGTGGCTCAGACTGTAATTCCAGCATTTTGGGAGGCCAAGGTGAGCGGACTGCCTTAGTCCACGGGCTCGAGACCAGACCAGACAATTTTGCAAGACCTCATCTCTACAATACACCAAACTTAGCAGGGTGTGGTAGCCCACGCCTGTAGTTCTGGCTACTTGGAAGACTGAGGCAGAAAGATCGCTGAAGCCCAGCGGGTCAATGCTAGAGTGGCTGTGAGCATGCCACTGCACTCCAGCCTGGGCAACAGAGTGAGAACCCAATTCAAGGAAAAAAAGAAAAGAAATGGGCCCTTCCTTCATGGTAGAATCAAGTAGATCAAGGAAATCATGGTAGAATCAAGTAGATCAAGGAAACACAGAATGTTGAGAACCAGTAGACTAGATGACCAACGTGAGTCATTCCTAAGATCTTGTAGATTTATTAAGATTTTACTTTACAAAAGGTTTTCTTATGAAAGTGAGGCAGGTTATTCAGTGCAAGTTGGGCATAGATAAGTTTCTTGTAGGCAGTTTAAATTAAAATAGGGTAAGTGTTCTTTTCTTTTCTTTTTTTTTTTTGAGTTGGAGTCTCACTCTGTCACCCAGGTTGGAGTGCAGTGGCATGTTCACGGCCACCACAGCCTCGACCTGCTGGGCTCAGGTGATCCTTCCGCCTCAGCCTTCCAAATAGCTGGAACCATAGGCGTGCTCCACCACACCCAGCTAACTTTTTTATTTATTGTAGAAACAAGGTCTCGCCAAGTTGTCCAGGCTGATCTCGAACCCCTGGGCTCAGGCAATCCTCTCGCCTCTGCCCCCCAAAGTGCTGGAATTACAGGCGTGAGCCATCATGCCTGGCAAGTGTTCTTTCTTAACAGTACAGAGTCTTACTCTGTCACCCAGGCTGGAGTGCAGTGGCATGCTCACTGCCATGGCAGCTTCAACCTGATGGGCTCAGGGAATCCTTCCACCTCAGCCTTCCAAATAGCTGGAACTACAGGCCTGGGCCATCACGTCCAGCTAATTTTTCTTGATTTATTGTAGAGATGAGGGCTTACCAAGTTGCCCAGGTTGGTCTTGAACCCATGGGCTCAGGCAATCCTCTTACCTCCATCTCCTCCCAAAGGGCTGGGATTATAGGAATCTGGCTTCAAGTAAACTCTTTAGGTCAATAACTTCAGACCACATTCAGTCAAATACTGGGTCCAGGCAGGTACCTAGCACCTTACTATCCTATTCCCCCCCATACAATAGTTCACCCGGTACCTTAAATGTCTTCTCCCATTTCCCTATGATCACCTACTGCTTATCTTTGAAGAGGTGGCTTAAGGGTAACAGTCCTGATAGGTACTTCTTCCCCTGGATTGTTGCTATTTCAGTAATTGTCTAATTATATTTTATATGACTTATTGTCTGCCACCAGACTATAAGTACTCTTTGGTGATTCAGCACAGCGCCTCTCTCAACATGTTTTTATACAATGAATGCCTTTGAAGTACATGAAAGCTCTCCAAATGCGTATGCTCACTGCATCTAAATATATGTTTTAGCCAGGTGTGGTGGCATGCACTTGTAGTTCCATCTACTTGGAAGACAGAGGTGGAAGGATCACCTGAGTCCAGCAGATAGAGGCTGCGGTGACCGTGAGCAAGCCACTGCACTCCAACCTGGGTGACAGAGTGAGACTATCCACCCAAAACAAAGAAAAAAAAAATTGCTGCTCAGCAGAGAATGAAACAAAG